AAAATTTGATGCTATTTCCGAGATTATTGCTTTCATTCAATAAAATTAAAAAAAATGTAAAAATTATGGCTTTGGACTTTGTTGCAGTTTTTTTTTATCACACCCTGTACCTTTGTTAGTAGAAAAGATAAGGTTTTTTTTTAGTAAAAATTAACTCAGGAAGATCCTCTAAAATCTTTTAAACGCTGTTTTAGGAATCTTCAAAAATGTTCAGGCCACTAGAAAACCTCTTTCACCTACAAGACCTCTAGCGGACTTTTTTGTATAGAGAAGGCATCTTGGCCTCTGGAAGGTCTTCCATCATAGACGAAAATTTATCGGTCTGCTCTATATAGAAAGATTTATAAGAATATTTGGTATTTGCATAAATAATCTGAAGAAGGCATTCTATGTCCAGTAATTCCTATATCCAAGAGACCCATTGAAGGTAGTCTATGTATAGGCTATCAAGAGTACCTTGAATAAATCGTTCCATTTAACTTTTCCCATGCCATCCAAAAAAACATATGGAAACTACATTTCAAAGGTAATGAATACCTTGCTGCCGTGGGATTAGTTCCCATAGTTTCTCTCTCCCTCCTGGCGTTTATGTGGGCCTTTTGTTAGAAATGTTGTTTTTCATTTTCAACTTCATAAAGTAATTATGAAATATTAAAGGAATCAAAACAAATTTATTATTATGTCGGAATTGAATGCCGTACGGCGGAGATGCTGCAGTTAGTTGCCTTCCAAATGATGATGTAACATGAGATGCCAAATGCACGGTTACACACAGATGCGTACAAAGCATAACATGCTCATTGCAGAACAAATCATAAGGGTATTGCTTTGGCAGAGCTATGGAGCAGAAGATCAAATTTCTTGCCACCTCTGAAGCGATGCAGAGTAAATGAGGTTGCCCATGAAGTTATTGTCTGTTGCCATTGGCGAGTTAGGGGTAAAGGATTTCTCATCCTCATCTCACCAGGCCGGATGATGTATTTAATTATGAATTGTTTGTGTAAATAGTTGATAATAGAATTTTGAAAACAAAACTTTACGAACAATAAGCATTTTGAAAATTCCCATTGCAGTGGAGTAGAACCACACGTGATCCGTTAAGTTTTTTCGCAAGCAAACAAGCGTGAAGCATGTTTGGCTTTGTTGTTTAAATAAAAAGAGTAAAGTATCATCCCTTACGCGATTTTTTTGGAAATTAAGTGGAGAAGATATTTCTGTGAATGATAGCTCAATTTCAGAGAACGTAGGTTATAATGAATGAATATTCAGAGAATGAGAACAATTGAATGGAAATTTAATATAAAGAGAGGAGTTGTAAGAGAAATCTCATAATCAATGCTAATTGTTTCTTAAAGCAGCGGTGCTCAAGAAAAAATATCTCTTTTCCGTCAAATTTCTCTTTGCTTATTTAAATCAAGAACAAAACAGTGTTAAGTTATTATTTATACAAATATTATTTATCCATTTGCTTTATAAATTAATTTGGCAAACATTCGTGTCTAAAAACAATTTAATAGAACCGTAAAATATAAAGAAAAACAGAATTTTAATTTTCTCTTAAATTAGGGTATTATATTCAATTAGAGAATCTTCACTTCTCAAAATACCCAACCCGCATTTTTTCAGAAATTCTTTCTACTCTTCTCACATTTGAGACATTAATGGAAAAATACCTAAGATTTATGTACCTACCCCCCTCTCCCACTTGGTAACATCCTTAAAGCCCCTTATCTACCAACAATAACCCTTGACAATAACAACAACAGAACACAAATAAGACTATCAGCATCACATTACCACCACCACCATCAAGGCTAACAACAACCAATACCATCACAATTTTCAGGAGATTTCGATTATTTGTATTTATTTAAGAACTTTTGCACCAGGTTCGGACACATGCCTGTCGGCTGCATTTGTGTTGCCATTGCCTTCTTCTTGTTTATCTTTTAACTAGCAAGGATGAGTGGTTAATTATCCTGAGAAGCGTGGATGTTGATTGGCAAAATGAATGGGATGTTCATTGGCAAAGGGAAATTTAATTTGGAAATATTTGAATGAATATTTTCGGTTGCTGAAGGGTTGATGTGTTTGAGAGTGGAAAGGATTTTCGGGGATAATAAAACGCTGAAACAGGAACGACTGTTTATACGCCCATCATGTGAAAACTTAAAATTAACACCAAATCAGTTGTCCTTAAAAGCCCTAAAAATTGGACAAGGAACTAACATCAAGGCCACATATCAATAGCTGCATAAAGTTAAAGTTTTTCTTATAGATCTTTCAAGATACCAAATTGCATCACATTTGCTCGGATAAAAAGGCTACGGCCTTAAAATTGATATAAATATTGGAAAATTCCCCACCCCAGTGAATTAAAAAAAAATCCGTAATTTTTAAATTTTTTTACATTCATTGAATGAAGGCAAAAAATGTCGGAAATAGCATCAAATTTTAGAATAAGTTTAGATTTGTTCGAATTGGTCACCTTTGGCACGAATTAGAGCCCTCAAACAGTCAATTAAACCGTCACACGCTGTCCGAATGTTGCTCTACGGTATTTTGGCCCATTCCCGGCGAAGTGTCTACTTGAAGTGATCGACACTTTGGTATTTTTGAGTGCCAACCTTGCTTCCCAAAATACTCCAGACACAATTGTCCAACGGATTGGTATCCGGAGATTTTGGTGGCCATTGTGGGCTGGAAATTAAGCGAGGAACCTCATTTTGTAATCATTCTTGGGTGGCGCGTGCTGAGTCCTGTTGAAATATCCAAGGTCTGCGGCCAAAATGTAAAGCCTTGGGCACGGCTTTAATACACCTTCCAGAATATTTTCGCGATAATATTCGGCATTTATTCTGAGCCACGATCGATTGATACGAGCGGAGAGCGACCATCGGATATTATGGCGGCCCACACCATCACCAAGACCGGCGCTTGTGTTCTGGTGGCCAACCGAAGGGGCACTTTTTCAGCTGACCTCTTTGGCAGGTAAACACGATCACTTTGTTTGTTTACAAACTGCTGGGCAACGAATGTTTTCTCATCGGAGACGGAGAAAACCAAATTCGACAGTTCACCACTTTCGGCCAAGAGAAGCAACTCTTAACCTCTTTTGAGTCTATTTTCTTTTTGTTGCGGTGTAAGTTCTTGCACTTTTTGGTATTTTAATGTCTTTACCCCGAGCTCATTTTTCCATATTTCGATATGTTCAGCTCACGAGCCATTTTTCGGCCACTTCGACGCGGGTTTCGATCAAGTCGCTTCTTTACATTTCGAACCATTTCTGCTGATGTTGACGTCCACTTCCTTGAAATCGGGCTACGCTACAGGTATCACGGTAACGAGCGATGATACGAGACAAAAAAGATTTATTTACATTTAATTGCTAGAGTGCTCTAACGATAACCACTTGCGAGTTTCCAGCCAAATACAAAGAAATCACACTATCACGCTTGAATTCCATCACGAATAATTTTTTGAAAAATTCTCACCAAAATGTTTTGTACGCTTGTAGACAATATAATGAGCTGTCACTGGAATAATTTTAAGAGCTATCGGACGAGTGGCTTAGAAATGACAGCTGCCTAAAGGTGGTTGCAGTTTTTTTTTTTCATCTCACCCTGTTACATTGATTCTTTTTCGATTTTTTCCTCAGATGAGGTTTTTATATTGTGTTGATCTAGAGGTGGTTTAAAACTTTCCTAAAATTAAAGAAAAATGTCATTGCTGTTGGTCCTTGGGTCGCTAAAAATATTATTAAAAACTCCAAGATTTTTAGTCTTAGGTCGCTCCAAAAATTTTCTCAAGAACTCACTACTGCTGGCCTCAAAATCCTGAAAACCTATTCTTAAAAAATCCGAGTTAAGGCCTTCTGAAATATTCTTAAAAAATCTATTTACCATTTTTGTCTTAAACAGGGCTGAATTTTAGTTTGCTCTCTTAAGGTTTCCAGAGAAATTTGTTCTTAGTCTCTTCCTTTTTCTTAGAATATTTCCTTTGAGAAAAAGTATCTCTCTTTCCCCCAGTTCCCACAATTTATTATATGGAATAGCACACCAAATATTCCTCGCAATTTTGAATCATTTGTCACATCATAAAAACCGTTTAGAAATTTCCCAACTACATATAAATTGCATTTGAATAAATTTATGACAGCTTTGTGATCTCCACCCCCCCCCCCATTCCCCACTGCCGACAAGGATAACTGTGAGAAAGAAATGAAAATATTGTCGATGCAGCATCAGCAATGGAAATTCAATTCCACTTGAGATTTACTTTTATTCGATTATGACTGCAGTGATTTCTGTCTAAAAGAAAAAAATCTCTTCCTCTCTCTCTCTCTCTCATTCCACACAACCACACAGGACTCTCTTGCTTTAATACTCTTGAAACATATTTTGTAATATTTCATATTTACTGCATTTTCTTGTGGTGGGCTGCCGTTTGCTTCTTCGGTGTAGGCAAAGAGGTGTCGTTAGAACACACAGATGAAGATAGGCAGCTCCCCTAGGAAAACTTAAACGATAACTGAGAGCATATTTAGGCTTTGTGTTTTTACTTATTTCGTTCGTTCGTTCTTTGGTATTCATGGCATGGGAAATAGATATGTCATGGAATGTAAGAAATGTTCAAGTTGAAGTGTTGGAAATGTTTACTGAAACATTTTGGAATTACTTTTTTTCACTTCTTTTGCTTTGTAATGGGATTTTTGGCTTTCCTGTTTTCCATGGTTTCCTTTGCAAATGGGAAAATCAATAAAGTATACTTAAAGGTGGTCTCGCGTGGTGTGTGTGCGGCTGCATGCCAGGCTAAGGCATTTTTCAAATTTTGCTGATAAATATGATGGAAATTTATCTGCGACAGGGCCATTTCCTTGTATGGCATGGGGATTTGGGCTAAACAAATTACCCTGGAAAGGAAAGAGGGGGAGGTAAAGGAAAACAATTTAAATTCTGAAGGTTTTTGTGAAATGAAATCAAATGCAATTTTTTAAAATTATTTTATGTCATTTATTTTAGAATTTGTTCAGGTTTTTGTACAAAAATCTTTAAAATTAACACTACGGAATATAAAACAACTCAAATGAGCGTAAAGGTCTTAATTACATTAGATTTTTTAAAAAATAAATACATACAGGGTGAGATAAAAATACTGCAACAAAGTCATAGTCAAAAGTCATATTTTAAAATTTTTTTTTTAATTTTATTAAATGAAATCAAAAAAATTCGGAAATAGCATCAAATTTACAATTTTTTATTGTTCGAATTGTTCACCTTTGGCCTTCAAACGGTCAATAAATCGTCACACGCTACCCGAATGATGCTCTGCGGTATTTTGGCCCATTTCCGACGAAACGCTTGCTTGAGGTGATCGACCTTTGGAATTTTTTTTTGCCAACCTTGCTTTTGAAAATACTCCAGACACAATAGTTCAACGGATTGGTATCCGGAGATTTTGGTGGCCATTGTGCGAATGGGAATGAAGCGAAGAACCTCATTTTGTAACCATTCTTGGGTGGCGTGTGCTGAGTACGATGGTGCTGTGTCCTGTTGGAATGTCCCAGATATGTGGCCAAAATGTTTGCGAGCCCACGGCTTTAATACACCATACAGAATATTTTCGCGAAAATATTCGACATTTATTTTGATGCCACCGTGGATTAATACTAGCGAAGAACGACCATCGGCAATTATGGCGGGCCACACCATCGCCATGGTCGGCGCTTGAGTTCTGGTGACCAACCGAAGCACCGAAGGTGCACATTCTCAGCAGACCTCTTTGTCAGGTAAACACGATCATTTTGTTTGTTTACAAACTTCTGGACAACGAATGTTTTCTCATGGAGTTCGGTAGTTCACTTCTTTCGGCCAAGTCAAGCGAAGCAACTCTTTAGCTCTTTTGAGTCGATTTTCCTTCTGTTGCGGTGTAAGTTCTTGCACTCTTTTGGAATTTCAATGGCTTTGCCCAGAGCTCATTTTTTAATATTTGCCGAATAGAATATTGCGATATGTTCAGCTCACGAGCCATTGTTTGGCCACTGCGACGCGGTTTTCGATCAAGTCGCTTCTTTAAATTTCGAACCATTTCTGCTGATGTTGCTGCTTTCTTTCGTGCTTTTGTTCGCTTGTAAACAATATAATGAGCTGTCACTGGAATAATTTTAACAGCTGTCGGAAAAGTGGCTTAGAAATGATGTTGCAGTTTTTTTATCTCACCCTGTGTATTATACCTATGCTATTTACAAAAATATATTTGGAAACTAAGCCTAAAAAATTAATTTTTAAATTAATTAAAAAATACATAAATTTTATTATTAATAATAATTACATACGTTTATTAAAAAAAAAAACAAGAAGTTTTAAAAAAATATTGTTTTCAACAAAAGATTAATTTCTAAAAGATAGCACAAAGGCTTGAAAAAGATACGGGTCTTTCATCAACAGAAGACCTTTTACAGAGGCAAGGTTTCCTGAAGAAAGTGGCAAAGCTTTCCAGAGATCTCTCATAAATATAAGACCCTTTATCCATCTAGGGAAGGCTTTTTATAGAGAGAAAACATTTTAACATCTTCACAAGACAAACAATTTTGAATAATTTTCTTTAGGAGGTAATCCTTGACATTTAGAATGTCTACGATCTCTAGAAGAGCTTTACAATGTCTTCGATCTATAAAAGACCTCTAAAAGCCCTTATAGATCATCTTCAACCCCTGGAAAACCTCATTACTTTGCCAACATCTTTCTCAATTTCTCGGTTATGGCACCTTTCCTTGGTCGTTTGTTGTTGACCTTCTTTGTTCTTTTTGAATGGGAATTTTTTGTACTTTCCGAACATGTAGAAATAGATTTTTGTGTAACGGCACTCTTAGGCTTGGATATAAAGGAACTTTTACTATTCTCACTATAAAGAAATTTCTCATTTCTTCTTTTGCTGGTAATGGGTACGGGGGAAGTTACTTCCTCCCGCTGGGGTAGTATTTCATTAGAATCTAAAGCTTTGCTATGATCTAAAGAGGTTAATACTTGTATTGGAACCACAGAGATTATGGGACGATTTTCAAATTGTGTGGGTTTAGCCTCAAAGCTATTCATCGCACTGTCTTCATGGCAACTCTCCGAAGCCATGCTCGTGAGCTCACATGATTCCAAATCATCTTCGATATCATAATCGATGACACTTGATGCTTCGGAGTCAATGGGAGCCACAATCTGGCTGGTAACATTCTCATAGGAAATTCTTGGAATCGGTTCCACAATTTCATCTTCGATATTTAGAAGACTTTCTAAGAAACGTACTTCCTGAACCTTCAGATGATCTTCCATTTGGGTAATCTCCTCAAAACGTTGTCTTATGGGCACAAATTCAGGATGTATATCCATTTGGCTATTTTCCAGGTTTTGTAAATTTGAAACTAGACTGCCAGATGTATGGGAGGTAGAAGCATTGTTATTTAATTGATTAATTGGATGCGAAACGTTGTCAGCAGATGTCAAGAGATTCATCAGAAAACTCGAATTTACTTGTCTTACATCAGGCTCTGGAGTGGGAGATTGAACTTGATCTTGACTCAAATCACACTCTGGACTTGGAGATCGACCCATAAATTCAAGGCTATCATTGTTGGAATCCATGGCCAGGGTGTAAAAATTCGTTATTTCTATTGGCATTGGGGTTTCAGGTTCAGATTTTAATGTTAGAAAACCGCCATCTTCATTTATGTCTTCATTTGTTTCCAAAGTTTCCTTTAGAGATTTTGGGGAGTTACAATGTTTCCCCAAATCTTCCACTTTGGAAACCATGTTGATTTCCTGTTTATTTGCGGCTTCATTTGTTCCCAGTTCTTCATCTTCATGTGGTTCTTCTTTAATTTTTGTCGAAATGAATGCCAATTCTTCGCCCTTTTCAATTTCTTTAAAATGCCCCAGTGATGCATCTTCTTCCGTTGTTATGTCTTTTAGTTTAGTGTCATCTTCTAATGTTTTGCCAACATTGAGTGGTTCTTTTTTCACATTTTCCTCAGATGGCGTTTTGAGATCAAACATTTCGCCTAACTTTGTTTGGGCATCCATTATGGATAATTCGAAATCCTGGAAGTTCTGAATGTGTCTCCAACATTTGGAACATATTACCTTTAAATGCTTTGCCGCTTCCATATTTAAGATCTGCAGTAAAACATAAAAGAAAAAAAAAACAAAACGTATTCATGTTACAAAATATGTGTGGAAACCACAGACAGTTGTGGTTAAAATAATAGCATTAAAAAAATACAACAAATCTGTGTAGTAAACATTTCCTTGTAAGCAATGTAAAATGTGTGCTATTGTATTCTACCACCCTTTGGGACTCTCACTTACATTGGGATGAAAATAATGGTAGATTATTTCATATACTGAAGTAGCCTTTCCGCACTCGCTGTACAGCCTCTCACAATCGTTACTCCCTTTCAAACATAGGCGACAGAGCAGCATGATGGAGTTTTTCTAGATAACTCATGATAAATGATAAATTCTGCGAATAGAACACAAATAAAACGTTTAGGTATTAAGAAATAATAGGCCTCAAGCTTACACTAAATATTGGGTGAACTCGTCTAAAGTCATCGGGATAACCTAATATGATTGACATACCAAAGAAAGGGATCCACATGATCCATCTTTTTAACCAATGATTCTTGGCGTAATCCAATGCCCTCTACAACATTTAAAAGCAATATATTGCGCAATATAGGTCAAAAGATTATTTCCCATTTTAGTTCCTCACGTAGCACTGACGCAAATATTAGGATTTACAAACTTGGGGCAAAATCGGATTATCGTCTCTCTTTCTGTGCAGAATATATATTTTTTTTTTTTTTTAAATTTCGACCATTTGTGGGTGAGATACCAGAAGGAGAGGACCGATATATTCCAACTTAACACCAGATCTTGGGTTACTACAAATATTGGGATGTGTGAAGATAATCGGACTCTTACATGACATTTTGTAAGGGTTGTAATTATTCAAAATTTTGACCCTTTGTGGGGGAGGTACTTGATGGATTGTCTATTTTCGTACCTGACCTAGCATTGTCCTTTCCCCTCTATTTAAGTTACTCTTAAAACCCTTTAGACATGTCTTCTATTTGTAAGCCCACATTCATAATCTTCCCATGTTTTCCTCTAATTAGGGAAAAAATGTATTTTGTAGCACAGTGTAATTATTCTCCCGTTCCCATTTACATGCATTTTCATTTGTCCGGTCTCTTTTTTGTCGACCCTGATACAAAAGACTTGAAACGGTTTTGGTTTTTGGATGCCATTTCACACACCACCACACACACACACTCTCATTATCGTTGGTTCTATTTGTGGTCCACACTTGTGTCGGACGACGTCACACTCACACAAACCCATGTAAGTAGGCTTTAGTTTTCAATATTTCGTTCACTTGGAATGGTCGCGCATCAAGGGCATTGTGTTTTGTTGTGTTTAAATATTATCGTCTAAGAACTATATCACTTTTAAAAACAAGGATATTAAAAACAAGGTATTTCAGTATTTATAATTCGTACTTTGTTTGGTTTTCTTAACGCAAATCCCTTTGTTTATCAACTTTTGCCAATGAAAAACTACGAAATGTCAAAAGCCCCCGAAGCCAGCAACAAATGAGAACCAAGTGTGGAATGTAAAGAGAGTATGCCAGCTGGTTTTCTCTCACCGTGTTCCACATTGTGGGAGAGATATTAACAGCTGTTGTGTTGTCATTTGGGTGGGCAAAAAATAAAAACACGGATATAAACAAAATAAACATGAAATTAATAATAAATATTAATAAATAAAAATTAAATGAAATATAGCCCCATAATTGAGCGATTATTATTGATTGAAGCTATATTTATTTTTATTAAAATATTCTCAAATCAGTACATTACCATACCTTATGTATTCAACGATAAATTCTCATAGCCCCAACTGGTAATGGGGACAAAATAATTTTGAATACTGTTTAATTGTTTGCAAGGTTTATAAGGTTCAATTCCACATTTGGAATAAATTTGGGATTGAAAATCAGTTATATGAGAATCATACCCCAACCTGCGTTGATTATTCTTGTCAAATTACAACTGATTTGGCCTCATTATACCAACATTGAATATGTTTTGAGAATCTGAATAAATGAATTTAAGACTTCCAGTTACATTTGGAATCGATTTCGTGTATCGTACCCATTATGAAATTTTAAGCTTCTTAAACTCTCTTTCTTTCTTCCAGCTTAAACGAATTTTAAAGTCTTTTTGCACAAACATGTCGGAAAACAAACGCATTAAAACTGAACCTTATTTCTCAGACGACTCTGAATGCACCTCGTACGCCCTACAAGGTCAAAATATTAAAATTGAAAGTGAGCCATACCCATATGATGTTTATCAATTTGTGAAACCGGAAGAGGAAGCGTCTAAAAATCCAGAATATACTCCTCCTGCCATTGCAATTAAACAAGAACCTTTAGAAATAATATCCGAACCTCCGCCCTTTCTGGCCCTTAAATGTATTGGCTGTACGGAAACATTTAACAACGACAAATTGTTGCGACAACATTTTCTTCAACAGCATGCTCGAACAAATGATCATCAACAGATCAACTTGCCAAAGTTGGAAATCATTGATATACCTGAACTAGGCAGATATAAAGAAGAAGTCTTAAACAACGATGAGGTGGTTTCGCAACCTTTTCTTCATGATGTCCAACAAATCACCTTGCCCAAATTGGAAATCAATGATGTACCTGAAAAGGGTGAAGAGGGATGCGAAGAAACCTTTAACAATGGAGAAGAGTTGAACGAAATCATGGGGGATCATAACAAAAATCCCATTGATGATGATGATGACGAAGACATGATGAACATGGAAGAGGACGAGGAGGAGGAGGATACTGATGATGCTGAAGACAACGAAAGCGATTCAAATGGAATTCGGCGAAAATTCAGAGAACCGCCTCTAATTGCCCGCCTACGCTCACAACCGGCCAATTGGCAGCCAATTATGAACTGTACCGAATGTCCAGAGACCTTTACGGAATATTGTCTGTTGAGCCAGCATTTCACCCAGGCACATCTAAACCGTGATTTTCACATAATTTGTTGTGAGCGTAAATTTTCCACACAACGACACATTGAAGAACACTTCAGTCTGCATCGTGACCCCAATCAGTTTAAATGTAAAAAATGTGGCCGATATTACACGTCTAGAGAGGGGGTGATGACGCATATGAAACGATTCCATACATCGTCTGTGGAAAAGGAGTTTGCTTGCAAAAAATGCACTCAAAGTTTTACCACACAAAGAGGTCTAAATTTACATGACAACGTGGTGCATCAAACATCAGTGGCACGACCCCAACCCACAGTGACCGTAATGGAAAATGGCCAAACAATATATGGCTGCAAACACTGCGGTTATACCTGTGATAGTAAACGAAAATTTTCCAATCATTGGTCCCATGTTCATCGCCAGGTGCCAGGCTATAAATGTCAGAAGTGTGGTAAAGTTGATAGAATCGATGCCCTGCGCAAACATCTCAGAACCCATTCGACCAATTTGAAATGCCCCGCCTGTGGTAAACAGTGTAAACGAAAGAATGATCTAACATGTCACATTACCACCAAACATAGCGCCAATAAAGAAGAGATCCTCAAAAAACTATTGGAAACCGAAGAACCGCTTCCAGAGGCCATAAATATCATCAAAACCGGAGATTTCATTTGTAATTACTGTAATCATGTAAGCGATAGTGTGGATGCTTTACTTTTGCACATCGAGGAGAGTCACAAGCGGGAGCACAAATGCCATTTGTGTAATATGGCGTTTCGTGTCAGACGTGGTCTCATTTGCCATCTAAATCGACACAAGGGGGATGGCAACACTAAACCTAATGTTGCTGCTGACGATAACGATGATGCGTCTCAATCGAATTCCCCCACGACTCAGGTAGAAAAGGAGGAATAAATTTTGTGAGTTTTGCGATAGGGAATTTTGTTTTGCAAAGGCATTGAAAAAGCATCGGATTAATACGCATTTAAAGGAGAGTTAAAGAGGTGGAACTGGGAATGAACGCCAAAAATGAAAAAAAAAAAAAACAGGAGAAAAATCCTAAAAAAAAGCTTCTAATAGCTCCCAAGTATGTGAGACCTACCATGTCTCGAATTGTAAACTTTTTTAAATCTCATTTCTAGAGATAAATAATTTTTTACAGGTCTTCACAATTTTTGTAAAATGTCTACCTTTAAATAAAAATAATGGAATAATTAAAAAACACTACAATTTGTTTTTTTTACCAATTTGTTTTATTTACATATAACACAACCAAAAAGGTTTGTATATACACTTCAATAACAATGTAAGTTCCCTGTAAAAATTATATATATATATTTCTTCTAACAATAATTAATCTGTATCATATCTTAAAGTAAATATCTCCTCATCACTCCCTGATTCTTGTTCAATTTTGACATGTACAATGCCATTACTTTCACTACCATTCTCAGTTGTAGTCGTCGAACAATTACTCGTTATAACAACATCCTCATTTTTGTGCTGCAATATATGATGCCGGTAGTGGGTACGTTGTTCGAATGTAAGACCACATGTTGCGCAAATATGCCTGGTATTATGTTTGAGCACAGTGTGACTACTATACTTGGAATAATTGGTAAATATTTTCGAGCAATGCACGCAGCAATATAGACCATTTGGTGTTGTTTTATTGGAAATATTGGGACTAAGTTCTTTTTCCGGTGTCCATTGATGCCGCTTCGATGGTGATTTGTTAGTTTTATAAATATTTTTGGTAAATGTATAAATAAAGGCATTCGAAAATCTTCTTCTGTTAATTCGGGGAGAATTTTCATTTGTATGGCAAATGGGTTCAAGTTTTGTTAGTTCTTTGCTTTGGTTTTGGGGCAAGCGATTAGATTGGGTTTGGTTAGATTCATTTTTGGATGATCCAGACGGGTTTCTCTTGGATTGGTGTGTGTACCGAATGTGCTGCAGTAATTGTCTCTTGTGGTCAAAAGTTTGCTTGCACTGATCACATGGGAACATTTTTAAATCTATCGTGTTTTTACAAAGTTCTTTACGAGAAATATTAGTCTTTTGTGACTTGGTGTTAGAATTCCCTAGGGAAGTGTTATTCTCTCTCAAAAGACCATTGGATGTTTCTTCATCCAGAGAATTATTATGAGGCATTGGATATCCTTGTGTTCCACAAAGAAACTTGGTTTCAAATTCGATTTTATTGGAAATTTTATTCTGCCCAACAACCATGTCGTTGGTTTGATTAAAACTTTTTGTTTCAATTGACGTGTTCAAATCGAGGGATTCTAATTTCACTGGTTCCCCTGTTTGTCCAGTATCTAAAAGTTTTAATTGAGCTAAATTAATAGAAGCTTGAAAGCTATTAAAATCCACAATATGCCGAAAACATTCCAGACATATACATCTTAGATGTTTGGCTTCTTCCATATTTAAGGTCTGAAAATTAGAAATAATTACTTTATTTAAATTTAGGTTTTGAAATGTAACCCAATTTACCTGTGGATGAAAATATCTGCACAGCAACAGATGCAGTTCATTGCATTGATCATCATCATTGTAAAGATTTTTGAAATCTCTACATTCATTCAGGCATAAGCGGCAAATAACCATGGTTATCGTGCTGAAAGAAAGTGAGATATGCAATTTTGAAATAGGCAATTGGAGACATGTGATGGAAAGTAATGTATTATGAAGTATAGGCAGGGCTTCAAGAAATTAAAAAGTAAACAAATAAAATACGTAGGCATCAACATGCATATGACAAATTACTATTTAAATTTGTATGCCCTACATCAAAAAATTGGAATACTTTACGTATCTATGTAACACATAAAGGGATTCAAATTAAACCCAGTTTTTTCAAGGAAACCTTCTTTCATTTTCATTAATTTGAAAATCACATCATATTTAGTTCTATCTGACTTATTTGTTCATTGTAGATATCTAGAGCTTTACAAGTTTAACCAAATTTATCATTGGCTATTGAATGTCCCCTTTCCAAATAGTGCTGCAGGGTATCAACCAATCGTTTCTGCCCAAATTTGATTGTCTTCTTCCTGCCCTGCTCTCAAAGCGTCTGCGCGAAACAACCTGATGTTCCACAGGAATACAGACACACAAATAAGTGGAAATTTTAAGTCATCTAAAATAAAAAAACTCGGTGTTGGTCACAAAGTTTCTTGAAATAGAAAACAAATAAAATTGCAATAATCTTAAAGAAAATTGAAAGAAAAGTTCAAGAAATAAATTCAAATATTTTTGCAATTAAACTCCACAAAGTGTTTTGTTATTAGAATCGAAGAAATAGTGGTGGTTTTTTCGGTGGCCGTGTAAGAAAAGTTATGTGTTTGGTGTTGAAGAAATCTTTTAAAAAAGTTGTTTATCAAAGGTCTGAATGAAATAAGAAATATGTAATAAATACTACATATTCTTGATGGAAAGCATTCTGTGTTAATCAAGTGGGTATGTTCATCAACGTTTTAAAATATTGGCTTATTCATTGCCTAGGAATGATTCAGATTGTATATTGATTTTCTTTTTGTAGTTTTGACAAGCTGTAAGTTTTATTTATTCTAATATTTAATAAATAGATTTCCCCATTAAGGTGCTTGAAATCCGAATTAAATTCAATCAATGGCTTTCAAGTCATATATGTAAAGCTGCAAAAAATAGTGGCCAGAAAATAGTCTGATAGCTATTGTAGATTTATTTTTTGTAGGCATACAAAGAAACAAATAGGTATGATGTCTATTTCGCCCACTTTAGGGTGTTACATGCAAAAGCGCTACAGCAAGACATAATGAGTGGACTTCAATAAAAATTGTTTGTGAGATGAAGACGCATATTCCGGACAGATTTTGATACAGCGTTCAATATATTTTCCTTAAAATTCGCATAAAAATTATTTCCGAAGACGTCACTTATCCTCGACATCATTTGAAAGAATGTACCAAAGATTACCACCCATTAATATTGGCGATCGAAGTCCCCTTTATAAGACATGGGAGGACAATTCCAATGCATTTTTGGGTTCCTTGTCAAGTCAACATATTAAGATGGTTACACCAAAAAAAAACTAAAGTCGATTCCCTTAGATTTTGCAATAGAGGATTTTTACCCCTAAGCTTCTGTGATGCCAATAGTGGAGCTGTAGATTTCCAAAAGTCAAAGTTTATTTATAATATGGGATATATACAGTATAAAACTCACCTTGAAATAAAAAAAAATATTAATATATTTTCTTAATTCTTCCTTAATGATTGTTTAAAACTTTCTGCAAATTGGGGTTTATTTTCATTGGCTTTCATTGTGCTTCTCACAGTGCTCGTGTTCTCACTAAGATTAAAATAATAAAAATGAACTTTTTCACAGAATTTATTGAATTTAGAATATATTTAAATTAAAACAATAGGAGCAGTTTAATTTAATGTTAATTATTGTCTAAATACCCGTATAGAAGGGAATACTTTTTATGACGTTTCTTCGCATTTTCCCCTCACATTAATCTTTGACTCGTGCTCTTCCTCTCTCACTGATCTTCATTAAAACATTTTACTTTTGCCGGATAAATTGTTAAATTTGTAAACACAATTTTATAAAAATATAAATAATATGATTTTCTTTATGACCATAATTTAAATATGCTGAAACAATCATTTTTATATCGTTTGTTTTATATTTAATTTGATTGCCTTTTGTTTTTATTGTCAACTTTATCTCTCTCTCGCAGATCAATATAAAAAAACATGGTACTTCTCACGGATGAATTATTAACATATCACATAATTAGAATATAAATAATTTGTTTTCATTTGAATTATAGTTTAAACGTGCACATAATTAAATATTTTTAATAATTTTGTTTAACGTTATTGCCTCTGTTTTTTGTGTTGTCAAAAAAAAGGTGCTCTCTCAGACTAAATGAAACACATTGCACTTTTCTAATAAAAATTAATAGATTTTAAACACATTTTTATATATAATTGATCACAAGATTATTGTTAACTTCTGTTTATTCTTTTGTGAGTAATAATTTCTTTTTTTTTCCTGTATTTATTAAAAAATAATACAAGTTATAGAGAGCTCCCACCATCCACCTGATAAACATTGACAGATGAGAGATGTAAAGAAATATAGAAAGAACGATAAAATGTCAAATGACTTCCACAAAAAAAAAAGAACGTAAACATGAAAATCTGCTTTGCCTTCCATCTTTTCATTCAACAGAATTTTACATTCTTTGTTATATCCCATTCTAAACAAAACAAAAAGGTGCCACACATTTTTGTGGACAATGTGGAATGAATCGAGCCATACAGAGTTGCATTTTGTAGTCATCATACCAAGCAAACAGAAGCTCAAAAGTAAAATCCACAACAAAATAAGTATATTCGATGTGGTAAAGGCAAAAAAGATTAATTAAAGGAAATGAAATAATAAAAAACATATCGGAAATCTTTAGATTCCTTCAAGTGTGTGTGTTCTATACAAACTCTAATTGCACAAAAACGTGCCCAAGTTGTGTTGCGAGTGAAGTGCTAGCATTTTCTTGCTAAAACGTGAAACAATCTTGCAGAGACGCCACCATCTACCTTTTTGACCGTGAGACTGTGGTGTGGTATGTATTCTATGGGAAAATAGAAGGAAATAATGTGATAAAAGTTTCTATATTGTGTAGATCATTGACATGCATTCTCAAGATAATGTAAAAGACTTTTAATGATTCAAAATGGCATCAGGATGTAGTGTGGATGTTCTTATAATTTCCATAGCTTAGTTCCAAAATGATCTCTTGCTTTTCAATCTCGTATGAGGTGATCGACTACATAAGTTTCTGCCAAAGGAACTCCCGTGCGTAAATGTGAGGTTCTACATTTGTAGGACAGACGCAAGTAGCACCTTATAGGGCCGTAGATTATTAAACTTGATAATTATTTCATTCGACAGGCCAGCAATATAAAACATCTAAAAATTTGTTCATAAAGTGTTATGTATGCTGAAAAAGGTATCGGAACACATCAAAATATCCAATATCGGGAGATACTTTATTCCAAAACATTCATCCATTTTGTTGCTGATAGGAAAGAAAGCGAAGGAAGGGTTTACAGGCTGGACAGAAGCTACTATGAGAAAGAAATTGAGTTTATTACTAATAAGAATGTGCTCGCCTAGTCAAAGTATGGGTAATTCGAGGCGGAAACAGTATAAAATCCCATGCGAATGAGGGAGGTTTCGTTTTGAATAAGTCAAATTTATGTTTCCTATGAATTTGGAGTCTTTTAGCAGAAGTAGTTTATGGATCTCACAATACTCCAGTAAGGGCCTCGAAATAGCATTAGGTTCCACTGTTTTCCTTTTTCTATTTCCCTGAATATGAGTGTCACAAGGAAAGTTCACAACGATTATCAGGATTTAATTTGTATTCCAGAGGAAATTTGTAAAATTGAACTAAGTGTGAGCGGAATTATGCCAAAGATTTAGCAGATCAACAGATTACAACATCGGCTACGCTGTTTTATCTCCTGCCATAAAAACAAGTCCCTGTAGTTTACCAGCATTTGACCGATAATCTAAGATTTTCTCCTATGGAAAGATAGACGATAAAATATCAAAAAAATGTTTTCGGGGATAAAAAAGTATGGATCAGTTCATTTCAGAACATGGTACCGAAAAGGTTGAATTATCACTTCTTTTGGGACGAAATCTCTTTGCTATCAGACGGATTCCAAAAATTTTAATTATCCACAGACAATACTGATTATTGACCACATTCTGACACCGCAAAAAGAAAGAAGACCAAAAAGAGGATACATGTCTCACAGCTTTTCTGCCCTATCTGTTTTAGACTACATATATTTTGAATTAATAGGTTTCATTTATTTTGCACTAAAAAAATTACCGCTCATTGAACTAATCACTTTTCCCTTTTTTATTCTGTTTTCTTTTAGTTCGAGTAAATTGATAGCAACTATCTCCTGTCTGCTTTCAAGAATACATGGGGAATTCCTGATAGCGATTACCTGGCCGAATTAACAGGTAGGTCAATGCAAATATACTCATTTTTAGTTTCCATAATTAATTTAGTGAAGATAAGATGAAGAATGTAGTTTACCAGAATAGACCTTGAAATATATCCAATCTCTTTATGGGACGTGGGCAGCAATTGCGAATTTTCAAATATTGCAAAAATAAGTTTTATGTATTAAGCCGAAAACGTAGCTCAAAGAAAAGGTATCAAACTAAAAAAATAGCCATTGACCGAATCAGGTAAGTATTTATGTAAACATCTGCGAAAGGATTTTCTTGAGTTTATAAAGAATACCTAATACCTTAGATTTTTCCATGTTGCTGTCGGAAATGGTTTCTTAAACAACTTCGACGGAGTATTTTCAAGAAACCTATTTATTTTTTTAATTAGAATTCAAAATTCCAACTGAGGCCTGAATCGGGTTATATCTGCCCCTTAAACCAAGTTCTACATTGAAGGCCCATCTTTTCACTTCTTCCTATATAAAAAGTGAAAAAAATGTATATTATCTTCGGGGAAGATCTTTTCCTCTTGACTACGTCAATAAACGATGGATTTCAAATCGGGACATTTAAGCTCCATTTCCTCTACAAAATTGGCTGGAAGTTTTTATATAGATTTCTTAATATGTAAAAAACACAACTGTAGGTTACTCACCTATTTAGAAGAATATGGAAAAATACAAAAATATATTACTCACATACATAGGAGTAACCATGGCTCAATAATTGTGCCATGGGAGTAACCTATTTCGAATATTTAAAATATGTCGTGTATCCAATTGAACTGATTTTCCTTGCCCAAATCTAAAATAAAAGGTCGATTTTTGCTATTTTCAATTTTTAAGGGGTCAAAGATGCTTTTTTAACTGTTTTTTAAACCAAAATGATTGCTTTGCTAAATTTTTCCAAAACAAAAAGTTTCATTAAAGCTTTGTATCCTTTGTTTTTGATTTCTTTTTCTGCTAGGATCCTTCTACCAATCTGCCCACTTTTAAAGCATTATTCTAATTGTGTTCTTGTTGTATTCATGGGAAAACTTATTCAAAGATGTCTCAGAAGAATAGCTGCCGTTTGTGTGTGAAGTGGTGCGAATATGTTAAAAATCTCTACGACGAGAGTGGTCAACCAAATGCCTTGTATGAAATCATCGCTAAATATTTTCATCCTACGGTAAGAGTGACTTTTATTCTAACATTTAATGCTAAATTGCTATGCCAAAGAAAAAAAGCGATTGGTAGGTAGGCCACAGACACAATTGAAACGCCAGCTACTTCTGAGATGTGAATAGTTTTCCTCAAATATTAAGGAATTGATTATAAAAATTGAACTTTGCCCAAACCTTCCACTCGCTTTGTTGGTAATTTATTGTTAAATGTCTCCCCTTTTAAAGATTGTAAATTTGATTGGAAGTCCATTTCAAATCTTAGGTTTTAAATATCGAAAAATACACATATTTGACTGGTATTTGCCGCCAATGTTGGATACACATTAAAGTATTTACCGGTTTTCAAAGAACCATTAAAGAGGCCCAAGCGATTCTCCTTGACTCCTGCCCGGAAGATATAAATGAAACCAAATTGGAAACACACTTTGAATATGGAAGTAATGGAGAAGACATACAATTTGTCATTACCTCCTCCGATCTCAATATTAAAGATGAGTTTGGTGAGGAGCCAGCGGGAGAAGGTTCAGGGTCAGTTGGGGAAGAATATCTGGAAGAGGATTGCAATACCTCCAATGCAATGAAAGGGCCCCAGCAATATGGGGGCGATGAGACAAATGTCATCAACATAGAAGAATTGGCGGATGATGGTGCTGGCCATTTTGAGAATGAGGGAGGAGAAACCATCTTACTCGATAATAACAATGAAAATGAAGTGAATGAAATGGAGTTGCTTCATTTACAAAATGAATATGAACAACAGCATTTGGATGAGATAAATACCGCTGAATATCCCGCAAATAGTTTTTCACAGGTGCAACAGAATGCCCATGAAATGTCCACTAAAAGTCATGTGCCACAGGAATTGTATAATGATGCCTGGAGTGGGGAAATTGTTGCCGAAAATTTGACATTTGTTGAGGATGGCTCACAGCAGCCGCACTACAACAACGAGAGCCAGGAATTCTTTAATAATTCAACTGCTACACCAGATACAGGACAAACCCAAGATGATAGCCCCTCAATTATTCTACTCAAGGATGAGTATCAGTTGGAACCTGCCATGATTTTTAAATGTAAATTTTGTGGCTATTTTTGGAAAACCAAAAAGGAGTTGAAAACACATGTAATGCAACAGCACAGAGATCAATTATATAAAAATAAAAAAGCCAATACCACGCCGCAAATAACGACAGCCACCAGCTCCGCCTCCACCTCCAATTCCACAAACAACTCAAGTCTTTTGCAACCACCCAAAGAGCGGCCAATACAACATACAAACGAGAGGCGAGGAACACTATTAAAACGTAGCCACCAACATCCTGCCCACACACAACACCGGCCAAAGCGACACATACTCAACAAAGACATAACTGTGAGAGTTGAGGGTGCAAAACCCATTGACGATTTCAAGCTATTGCAGCTGGAGTGTAAATCCTGCACGAAATGTTTTAATAGTGAACAAGAATTCAATAGTCATCCATGCCTGCGTACCGTTATTAAGCCTCGCATTGCCGTGGGCAAGCGGACATTTAAACTACCGCCAGCAGCTACAAAAATGTTACAAAATAAGCCACAATCGTCTTCGTCTAGTACGGCGAATGGCCCCTCATGGATCTACGCTTGTTCATTTTGTACCAAGTCGTATTCAACATTTAGTGAACTAAATAGTCATAGGGAAAGAGAGCATCCCCTGGAGAGAAATACAAAATATCTTAAAATACTGCGATAAAATTGTATTTTATTTTTTTTTGTTTCAATAATTCGCATTTTTGGAAATTATTAATTTCCCTTTTTTTAGTTAAAATGTAATAAAAAAATTATGCAAACACTATTTTTCTATAAAACGAACATTGTTTGATTTTCGAGAGGACTAAAGAGAGGGGCGTTATTTTGGGTCATAATCTCCAAAGTGGAGGGTTTGGCAGAGGACCTCAAAGGACATCTACCTAACACAAGAGGACCAAAAAGGATCATCAGCTTTAAAATAGAGAACCCTAACGTAATCTACTCTACGCTAGGAGGCCCAAGGGGTCATCTATTCTACTCTATAGGACTGAAGGGGCCATTTACTCTTCACTAGAGGACCCAAGGGGTCATCTACTCTACAGTAGAGGGCTCAAGGGGTCATCTACTCTACAGTAGAAGGCCCAAGGTGTCATATATTCTACAGTAGAGGGCCCAAGGGGTCATCTACTCTACAGTAGCAGACCAAAGGGGTCATCTACTCTATAGTAGACGCTACTGAGGACCATCTTATCTACAGTAGACGCTCCTGAGGACAAGTTAATCTACGGTAGACGCTCCTGAGGACAAGTTAATCTACGGTAGACGCTCCTGAGGAGCATCTACTCTACAGTAGACGCTCCTGAGGACCAGCTACTCTACAGTAGACGCTCCTGAGGAGCATCTACTCTACAGTAGACACTCCCAAGGAAAACCTTCTCCACAGTAGTCGCTCCATAGGACAATCTACTCTTCAGTAGACGCTCCTAAAAAAAAAATTAAAATCTACTCTACAGTAGACGCTCCTGAGGAGCATCTAATCTACAGTAGACGCTCCTGAGGACCATCTACTCTACAGTAGACGCTCCTGAGGACCAGCTACTCTCCAGTAGACGACCCAGTGGACCATTTATCCACAGTGGACGAACCTGAGAGCCATCTATAGGAGAAGATCCCACAATACATCTTCTCCGCAGAAGGCATCCTAAGCCTGCAAAAAAAAAAAAAAAAAAAAAATGACGAGTCTCTTGCCTTGCCTTCTTTGTAGATTTAGAAATTTCAAACTTTAAAAACAATTCTCATGTGTTTTTTCTGTTCATTTTCTTTTTCTTTTTGACCTTTAGGGAAGACATTCAGTACGACCTCACTTTCTGGACAAATATTTAAAATTCTTGAACATGTCCCTGAGCAATTGCTGTCGTTTATGTGGACATAGATGCGAAGAAGGCAAGAGTTTGTATGACGATAGTGGACAACCTAATGCTCTGCATGAAATCATTGTCAAATATTTCCACCCTACGGTAAGGGGAAGAGAGGAAGGGGTGAGAGTGGTTGAAAGTGGTGTCTGATGTTCAGAGAATTTATTTTTTTTATAAATTTGTCTGAAGTTGTGACACCATTAAAGCCAATTAATGTCCTTTCAGCACCAGTTTTTTCAAATCCAACCTTTTTATAATCCTAGGTCATAGATATAGGTAAATATCGTCATCTAACCTCAATCTGCCGCCAATGTTGGCGTCAGGTATGGAAATTTTGTAATTTTCAAAAATCAGTACATGAAGCCCAGCTAAAGCTGTATGATCAATATCAAGAGGACTATAACTTAACGACCTCCAGTGGACAACATTCAATGGAAAAACAAAATTTAAGAGTTCAGAATACTCCTCAAGTCATGGACCAGACATTTGATGATTTAATCAATATAGAATCTGCGACCAATTGCATTAGCTTACAGCCAGTAACGGCAACTGTGGAAAAACCAACCTCCCACCCGAATCAACCTGCAGAAGAATTCGTTTCAATGATTTGCGTAAAAGAAGAGACAAATATTTCTGAAAATACAGAACCCATATTTTTGATAGAAGACTCCACAGAATCATCGGAAGATAGTCGAAATAATATTGTGGAATTGAAAAGCGAGGACAGAAACATGGACAATCATCCGGTTGAGGATACTACCCAAGAAGACATGGATACTCTATGTGAAAGCGATCTAACTGACTGCACTGAAAGACCATTAAGGTGCGATATCTGCATGAAATTTGTGCGGACGAGAAAGGCTCTACAACTGCACAAGGATCTGTATCATTTGAAGATTTTCGACAATCAACCGGCTGAGTGTAAAATTTGCCATTGTGTTTTGGAAAACAACATGGCTCTCTATGTCCACTATAACTGTGGTCACAAATTGACCACCTACTCCTTTTCCTGTCCCCAGTGTAACGAACTCTTCAACATACGCGAACAATATCACTCACATTTAAAGTTAGACCATGGCCGGGATGATCGGCCATGTATAAGTGATTCGGATAGTAATGGCTCGGGTTGTCAAAGTAGACGGAAACGAAGAAAGCAAATTTTTCAGATACGACATGAAGAGAAAAGGGAAAAGATTTAAGATTTTTTTTTCGCAATAGGATTTTTTTTTAAATTTTAATAACAAAGAGAAAACTGGAAAATATATATTTTTTTGAAATTTTTTTTAAAATTTGAAAACTTGAGACATTTTATTTTTAATTAGTGTATTACTTTGCTCTTAACCAAATAAACTTTTTTTTCTAAATAAAAGCAAACAAATTCGTATTTTATTTCCACCTTTTGAAGAATACAAAAGACTTAGGACACAAGCATTATTGCATTATTGGAATGTCTTCTAAAGATCTCTTTGAAACGATTAAAAGAGAGGAAGAATTACTCCCTCTAATCATATATTCCACAAGAAAAGAGAGTTAACTTTTTCTCTCAATGGTCCTCAAGGGCGTCTACTGTAGAGTAAATGACCCTTAGGAGCGTCTACTGTAAAGTAGATATCCCTCAGGGGCGTCTATTGTAGAGTATGTGGCCCTAAGTGTCGTCTACTGTGAAGCAGTTGAATATCAGGGGCGCCTACGAGAGAGAGGATGTCTCTCAGGTTCGTTTACGGGAGAGTAGATGGCTCTCAGGGTCGTCTACGGGAGATAAGATGTCCCTTAGGGTCGTCTACGGGAGATTATATGGCCCTAAGGGTCGTCTACTGTAGAGATGGCCCTCAGGGTCGCCTACGGGAGATTAGATGGCCCTAAGGGTCGTCTACTGTAGAATAAATGGACCTCAGAGTCGTCTACGGCAGAGTACATGACTCTTAGGGTCGTCTACGGCAGAGTACATGCATCTTAGGGTCGTCTACGGGAGAGTAAATAGCCCTCAGGGCGTCAACGGAGGAGCAGATGGTCCTGAGGGGCGTCGCCTGTAGAGTAGATGGCCCTCAGGGGCGTCTACTGTAGAGAGGATTGCCCTCGAGGGCATCTACTCTCGAGTAGATGGCCCCCAGGGACGTCTTCTGTAGAGTAGATGGCTCTCAGGGTCGCCCACTGTAGTGTAAATGGCCCCAAGGGTAGTCCACTGTAGAATATATGGCTCTCAGGTTCGTCTACTGTAGAGTAGATGGCTCTCAAGGTCGCCTACTGTAGAGTAAATGGCCGCCAGGGTCGTCCACCGTAGAGTAGATTGCCCTCAGGGTTGCCTACTGTAGATTAGATGATCCTCAGGTGCATCTACTGTAGAGTAAGAAGAACCTCAGAGTTATCTACTGTAGAGCAGGTTGATCTCAGGGTCGTCTGCTTTAAAGTAGATGGTCCTTAGGGTCGCCTACGGTAGAACAGATGGCTCTCAGCGTCGTCTACGGGAGAATAGGTTGCTCTCAGGGTAGCTACAGATGATAGACAGAGTCGCCTACTGCAGAGTAGATGACTCTCAGTGTCGCCTACTGTAGAATAGATGATCCTCAGGGGCGTCTACTGTAGAGTATATGGCCCACAGGTTCTTCTACTGTAGAGTAGATGGCCTTCAGGGTCGTCTACGGGAGAGAAGATGGCCCTCAGGGTCGTCTACGGTAGAGTAGATGGCCCTCAGGGTCGTCTATGGGAGAGTAGATGACCCTCAGGGTTGTCTACGGGAGAGTAAATGGCCCTCAGGGTCGTCTACGGCAGAGTATATAGTCCTCAGGGTCGCCTACGGGAGAGTAGATGGCCCTCAGGGTCGTCTACGGGAGTGTAGATGGCCCTCAGGTTCGTCTGCGGGAGAGTAGATGGCCCTCAGGTCGTCTACTGTAGAATAAATGGCCCTCAGGGTCGTCTATGGTAGAGTAGATGCCCCTAGGGGTCGTCTGCGGGAGAGTAGATGGTCGTCGTGTTGTCTACGGGAGAGTAGATAGTCATCAGGTCGTCTACGGAAGGGCAAATGACCCTCAGGGGCGTCTACTGTAGGGTAGATGGCACTCAGAACCCACTACGGGAGAGTATATAACACTCAGCGTCGTCTACGGGGGATTAGATACCTTTACGGCCTTCTATCACAGAGTAGATGGTTCTCAGGGTCGTATGTCAATATTTAGATTTGATTTAAAAAAGTTTTGGATCTATTTTCCACTCCTCAAAATAACATCTCTTTTATTCTCTCTTTTCTTTCCATTTCAGTATTTTTATAAAATTTTCGCTCCATGACAGCTATACATTACCACTGAAAAACTTCCAAAAGTTCTAATTCCAAAGAATCTCAAGTCCACATTCCATGAAAACATGACTCAGTCCACGACCTGCCGGTTATGTGTGGACAAGTGTCAGGAATACGAAACGCTTTACGATGAGAATGGTTTTGGGAATGAGCTGTACGAAGTGATTTTCAGTTTGTTTCATCCGAAGGTAAGTTTCCCAAAAACTCTCTCTCCCCCCTCTCTCAAAAACTGCCCATCCTGAATATCTTCCCTGATTTTTTTTTGTGAAAATATTTCCCAGATTATAGACATGGACAAATATCGCCACCTAAACATAATCTGCAATAAATGCTGGGGTCAGGTATTGGATTTTCATAATTTTCAAAAGTTCGTTACCGATGCCCAGGAGCGGCTGCAGGAGGAGGGGGATACAAAAGATGTCAAGACCAGCACGGATGTTGAAAATTTCCTAGTTGGATTTCCTGATGCGGCAGGTGATTTTGATAATAGCGCAGCGGGAAATATCGAAGGTAGTTTTGTTTCTTTGTCGGAAATGGCCGCCATTGAAGCTGATGGCGATACACCGCTCAATTCGCTTGCGGCCCATTCAGCTGCTTTGACGAAACGTAAATTTGCCCAGAAGATAGCCCAAAGTCATGTTGAACCAAAGAAATCTAAGTCGGGTGGAGAAAAGAAAGGAGGCCGGAGCCTTCCCCAAATGCCGGTGATAAAAATGGAACGAGAATTTGAGCTAATTGATGTCCACGATGATTATGATGAGGAAGCTGACATGCCCAGCACATCGTGGAATGCCACGGCCCCTGAGGATGATTATAATTTCCATGATGACTCTTCCATTATTCTGCTCGATGATTCCGACGAGGACGAGGAAGTGGAGGCGGAAGAAGACTATTTCAACATGTCCATGTCCCAGTTCAATGCCGACTATGAGAATGAGGAAGACGGCTATGAGCAACACGGCTTGGTGGATGCCATTGCCGGCATTGATGGTCGCAGGGACAACAAATCACGTGAGGAGCGGCAACAACATCTGAGTGTCCTACTGGCCAACTTTATGCCAATTATAAACTGTGATCTGTGTTCACACAAATGTAAATCCTGGCCGGCATTGCAGGCCCACTTCCTGAAGAAACATCCGACCGAGCAATGCTACATTCCCTGTTGCGGCCGCAAACTGAAAGAGCATTGGACGCTCAAGGAGCACATGCGTTATCACAACGATCCGAACACCTTCAAATGTAAACTTTGCGGTCGCGTAAATACCACACGCTGCTCGCTTAAGCGCCACATCGATGCCCAGCATCCGAGCTATCAGAAGTTACGGCATTTCTGTCCCAGCTGTGATAAAGGTTTCACCACCAAGAGTGGTCTGCGATATCACTGTACCACGGTCCACGAAAACTATGGCAAACCCGAGAGTCAGGTACAACCGGATGGTAGCACGCTGCATGTGTGCAAACAATGCAGTCGTTCCTTTAAGAGCTTGGATATGGCCCGCAAACACATTTACTACAACCACAGTCAGGTGGATCGCCTAAAATGCCCCACCTGTGGCTGTATTTTCAAAAAATCGCGACCCTATCGCGAACACGTTGCCTCCCACACCAAAAAAGAGCTGTACATCTGCGCCTATTGTCCCCAGAGGTTCACCTTCATGAATGCGCTGCGTTGCCACCGGAAGAGTAAACATCCCCAGGAGCCGGAGGAAAATTGCTACGTGGAAATCTACGGTGAACATGAGCAATTTTTATAGACTACAAAAGCCAAGGGGGGAAGTGTGAATAAAATTTCCTAGATTTTAATTTTGAAAATCACTTTTATTTTGGAAAAAAATATATTTTGATTGAAATCAATTTTGTAAAAAATAGTTTATTTTCTATTTCAGAAATTTGATTTGAGAAATTTAATATATTTGCATTTAAAGTTAATTTTGAAAAGACCAAACGATGGGTCTCTGGAGGTTTGTATATAGCAGGATCCGTGGAAGTCGATATAGAATACCAGAAAAAGCTCTTTGGTAGGGTATAGAAGGAAAAGCTCTCTGATAAAGGCTCGTCTTAAATGGAAAGAGAAATAGGGTAGCTCGTCCGAAGTTCGAATATAATATCAGGATCTCGCCCGAGGTTCGAACAGAACAGGAAGAGTTCGCTCAAGGAATAGCTGTAGCTTACCAGAGATTCGAATAGAATAGCACAAGCTCGTCCCAAGTTCGAATAGAATAGTAGGAGCTCGTCCGATGTTCGAATCGAAATGCGGGAGCTTCACCCAGGTTCGAATAGAATAGTAGGAGCGAATCTAAGGTTCGAATAGAGCAGGGGCTCACCACGGCTTCAAATAGAACAACAGAAGCTCGTCCGAAGGTCGGATAAAATATCAGAAGCTATCCCGTGGTTGGTATAGAATAGTAGGAGCTCACCCGATGATCGAATAGTATAGCAGGAGCTTACCAAGGTTCGGATAGAATAGTAGGTTAGAATAGAATAGAATAGCAGGAGCTGCCCTGAGGTTCGATTAGAGTGGCAGAAACTCGCCCGATGTTCGAACAGAATAGCAGGAGTTCTTCCGAAATTCGAATATAAAGCAGTAGCTCACCCGAGGCTCGAATAGAATAGCAGAAGCTCAACCGAGGCTTTAAGTAAAAATGCTAGAGCTCCCAATAGAATAACAGGAGCTCGCTAGTGGTCCGAATAGAACAGCAGGAGCTCGCTAGAGGTCCGAATAGAATAGCAGGAACTCGGTAGAGGTCCGAATAGAATAGCGAATAGTAGCAGGAGCTTGCTAGAGGTCCGAATAGTAGCAGGAGCTTTCTAGAGGTCCGAATAGAATAGCAGGAGCTCGTTAGAGATCCGAATAGAATAGCAGGAGGTCCAAATAGAATAGCAGGAGCTCGCTAGAGGTCCAAATCGAATAGCAGGAGCTCGCTAGAGGTCCAAATCGAATAGCAGGAGCTCCAAATCGAATAGCAGGAGCTCGCTAGAGGTCCAAATCGAATAGCAGGAGCTCGCTAGAGGTCCAAATCGAATAGCAGGAGCTCGCTAGAGGTCCAAATCGAATAGCAGGAGCTCGCTAGAGGTCCAAATCGAATAGCAGGAGCTCGCTAGAGGTCCAAATCGAATAGCAGGAGCTCGCTAGAGGTCCAAATCGAATAGCAGGAGCTCGCTAGAGGTCCAAATCGAATAGCAGGAGCTCGCTAGAGGTCCAAATCGAATAGCAGGAGATCGCTAGAGGTCCGAATAGAATAGCAGGAGCTCGCTAAAGGTCCGAATAGAATAGCAGGAGCTCGCTAGAGGTCCGAATAGAATAGCAGGAGCTCACTAGAGGTCCGAATAGAATAGCAGGAGCTCGTTTGAGGTCCGAATATAATAGCTGGAGCTCGCTAGAGGTCCGAATAGAATAGCCGGAGCTCGCTAGAGGTCCGAATAGAATAGCCGGAGTTCGCTAGAGGTCCGAATAGAATAGCCGGAGCTCACTAGAGGTCCGAATAGAATAGCCGGAGCTCGCTAGAGGTCCGAATAGAATAGCCGGAGCTCGCTAGAGGTCCGAATAGAATAGCCGGAGTTCGCTAGAGGTCCGCTCTCCATGGAAGTCAGTATAGAATAGCAAGTGGAGCTCTCTGAATGAAACAAGAATTGGCTACTTATGCGTCGAACTCATCAAAAACCATTCATTGAAGATTAACAGGAACTCTGCAGAGATTTGAATAGATTTATTTAGATTTTGAAATGAATAATTTGAGAAACATTTATTAAATAGTTGCTCTGAATATTCTCCCAGTTCTAGGAAAATTAATGACGCTGCCCCCACAATTTGTTACATTTTGGCTACAAATGAACTGTATTCAAACATAAATTTATTAATTTAAATTACTGTGCATCGCAAAGCCTGTACCAAATGCCCAATTTTCCTAGACAACATGGAATTAAATCTTTAATTGATTGCCTGTCCCGACCCGCTTATTTGAAAATGTTGAGCGGCCTAAGTTTGTTTCTTAAAATATTGTTATTAACTTTTCTTGGGGTAACTTTGAAAAAACAACAGTTACACCTCAATTTTGTGGCAACCGTTTTAAGTCAAATTTATGTCGAAGGCTTAAAAAGTTAAATTACCTCAAAATGTGTTTTACGCTTCTCAAAAAAGGAAAGAAACACAAGCAAGCATAATATGCTTACCTGTTCGCCAGATAGACAGGGCAATTTGTTAGGGTCCATTAAGTTAGGCAAAGGCTGGAAAGTGATTTTTCCACATGAAAAATGTGAGACCACAAATGGAAACTGAAACAAAAAAAAGGAAATTATTTTGAATGGGCCAGGAATCCCTGAATAGACAAATTCGAGTTTCCCACACCACGTGAGTGGAAGCCCGCAGTTTTTTTCACTTTGACATATCCAACAGAGACTAAATGAATTTGTATGTTTATTCTATTTTGAAGCTTTGCCATTGATTTGGAAAATCTAGCCCACCCTCTTTTAGATAACAATTGAAAAAAAATTGAAAACAATTTCCAACTTATCAAAATAAGTAACGGGAAAACATCACCATCCCATAAAAAATAATTCCTAATGACTGACATACGTTCGATGTGATGTAAACGCTTTTCTTTTGTTTGGCAATTCAATCTAATTGAGTTATCCCTGTAGAGATGTACATACGCACTTTTTCCACCACCCTTTTCAAGTGGAAAATGTTTTTGTTTTTTTTTCATGTTGCGTTTTTTAACCACCTTTTTCGTGTACTTTGTGCCACGAAATGAGGGTACATCTGAAGTGACTTAAGTGATAACGAAAAAATTGAAAAAACGTAACATCACAAAGTTCCCAGCCAATTAAATTGGGTAATTATATGAAATTATCATGGGAGGATGATGTCAATTGAAAACTAAGGAAAATGGCTTCCGAAAGTACAGTTTTCAACTCAGGAAGTGTTTGTTTATATTGACTCAATTGAGGTAAAGGGGGAAAAATGAAGTAGGACCCAGCCAAGCTGAAGGGCCAGGGAATTTCTATAGACGAGATGAAGCATCAGGAGTGCATAGTCCTCTGTAAAACTTCTCCTGAAGTCGCAGGGAGTCTCTATAGACGAACTCAAGGCACAAAGAGTCTTTATAGTCGAGTTGAAGGCGCAAGGATTCTCTAAAGACGGGTTGAAGGTGCAGGGAGTCTCTACAGACAAGCTAAAGGGCCAGATAGTTCGTATATACAAGCTGAAGGCGCCGGGAGTCTCTATAGACTGATTGAAGCGCCATGGAGTCTATAGAAGAGCTGAAGGGCCAGCAAGTCCCTATAAGCCAGCGAGTCTCTATAAGCCAGCGAGTCTCTATAGACGAACTGAAGGTCCAGAGAGTTTCTCTAAACGAACTGAAGGCCCAGAGAGTTTCTATACACCAGCTGAAGGCACAGCAAGTCTCTATAGACGAGCTGAAGGCGCAGCAAGTCTCTATAGACGAACTGAAGGCACAGCAAGTCTCTATAGACGAACTGAAGGCGCAGCAAGTCTATATAGACGAGCTGAAGGCGCAGCAAGTCTCTATAGACGAGCTGAAGGCGCAGCAAGTCTCTATAGACGAGCTGAAGGCGCAGCAAGTCTCTATAGACGAGCTGAAGGCGCAGCAAGTCTCTATAGAGGAGCTAAAGGCGCAGCAAGTCTCTATAGACGAGCTGAAGGCGCAGCAAGTCTCTATAGACGAGCTGAAGGCGCAGCAAGTCTCTATAGACGAGCTGAAGGCGCAGGGAGTCTCTAGAGGCGAGCTGAAGGCGCAGGGAGTCTCTAGAGGCGAGCTGAAGGCGCAGGGAGTCTCTAGAGGCGAGTTGAAGCGCCAGGGCGTCCTTATAGATTAGCTGAAGCGCCAGGTAGAGCTGAGAGTATCTATAGACGTGCCCAAAGAGGAGAGTATCTATAGACGTGCCCAAAGAGGAGAGTCTTTAAAGATGAGCTGAAGGCGCAGCAAGTCTCTATAGACGAGCTGAAGGCGCAGCAAGTCTCTATAGACGAGCTGAAGGCGCAGCAAGTCTCTATAGACGAGCTGAAGGCGCAGCAAGTCTCTATAGACGAGCTGAAGGCGCAGCAAGTCTCTATAGACGAGCTGAAGGCGCAGCAAGTCTCTATAGACGAGCTGAAGGCGCAGCAAGTCTCTATAGACGAGCTGAAGGCGCAGCAAGTCTCTACATAGACGAGCTGAAGCCGCAGGGAGTCTCTACATAGACAAGCTGAAGCCGCAGGGAGTCTCTACATAGACGAGCTGAAGCCGCAGGGAGTCTCTACATAGACGAGCTGAAGCCGCAGGGAGTCTCTAGAGGCGAGCTGAAAGCGCAGGGAGTCTCTAGAGGCGAGCTGAAGGCGTAGGGAGTCTCTAGAGGCGAGCTGAAGGCGCAGGGAGTCTCTAGAGGCGAGCTGAAGGCGCAGGGAGTCGCTAGAGGCGAGTTGAAGGCGCAGGGAGTCGCTAGAGGCGAGTTGAAGGCGCAGGGAGTCTCCAGGGATATGGTAGAGACGATATGGTAGAGCTGAGAGCCAGAGAGTATAAACGTATCCAAAGAGGAGAGTCTCTTTGGACTAGGGAGTCTTTGTAGAAAAGCTGGAAGTGTAGGGAAATCTCACAAACGAATTCAAGTGCCAGGAAGTTTTCCTTGATGAACTGGAGGGGGAAGACCTCCTTATAGATCCTCTATAGATCCCCTCATATTCTATTCAAAACTCTATAGATCGCCTATAATTATATTCGGGTTCCTATAGATCTCCTATTCTATTCGAACCTCTACAGATCACCCTGTATTACATACGGCCTCTATTGGTCTCTTCATACTCTAATCGGACCTCTTTAGATATTTTCACATTCTACTCGGTCCGCTATAGATCTTTTCATATTATATTCCT